TTTGCAAGATTTAGTTCTGGAGATTTTTCCATTCAAGATGCACAACAATCAAGTCAGCTGGTTGAAATTGACTGCGATCAAATAAAAGTAGTAGTCAACAGTAATCCATGCCATACGATGAAGGAGATTGCAGATATTCTTCAAATATTAAAATTGTGTGTGAAAAATCATCTGTGTCAAACTTGGATACATCATCAAACTTGACGATGTATCCAAGTTTGAGTTCCACGCAAACTTAGTGAAGCCAATTGCATCACTCACATTTCCATCTGTGATCTCTCAAAAATGTGAAGAAAGTGATCCATTTCTGAAGCAAATGGAAACAAGGGATAAAAAGTAGATTGTTTACATTAACATCAATTGCAAAAGATCATGGGGAAAGCACAGCAAACTGCTGCACACCATTTCAAAAGCTGGACTTCATCAAAGCAAAGTTATGCTCTCGATTTGGTAGGATTGAAGGGGTGTTTTGTTTTACGAACTGCTTCTGAAAAATAAAATGATCAATTCCGACATATACTGTGATCAGCTGGACAAATTAAACAGAGTGATTCAGGAAAAGCATCCAAAATTGATGAATTACAAGGGTCTTCCACATGATAACACCTGGCCACATGTGTCAATGCAAACTAGTGATGTGCCAGATTGTTAAAAATGTATATCCGCGGATACGGATACAGATATAGATCATTAGTGTCTAGATCCATGGATATGGATACGGATCTCAACTTTCGTACTCAGTCGGCACAGGGGCGTGTGACCTTGGACCGATAGTTGACGCTTTGCGTTAGTAACGCGGCATGTTTTGACTTGCACTGTGCGTGTTTTTGTTTATAGTTTAGTATGACACGGAATAGCATAGATTACGTTTGTATTTTTGGAGAGCGTTGAGTTAAATTAAAATAAAAACAATGTCAACAAAAAAGTTTAGTAGAGTAATATGAAAATATTTTATGATAGTAAATTAATTTTGCATGATAAAATTTTTGCAATGTGAATGTGCCAAATATGTGATTTTAAGAAATAAAAAGTGATTTGAATTGAAGTAATTAGTATTTTATTGCTACCTATCTTTAAAATTTCATATAAGTAATGAAATTCATTAAGATAAAAAATCCGTTAAAGATCCGCTAAAAAGTAACAGATACGGATATCCAGCACATTGTTGGAGCTTGGCTGGGATGTCATATTCATCTGATCTTGCCTCTTTTAATTACCACTTTTCTTGATCTCTTCAAAATTCTTTAAATGAACAGCACTTCATTTCTGATAATGACATAAAACAGCACTTGGAAGAGTTTTTCAAGATGGCAAAATGTAATAAAAAACAAGCAATTATTTACTGTGACATCATCACAATGCCGGGCTGCAATTTTTAATCACAATTTATTTAACTTAAAATATATTATACTACTATTACTATACTACTATTATATTATATCCACCTCGAATTAATAGTGGCTTGCCCCTGTATATCATACTTTTCCTTTAACAACAGAGCTTTGTTGGTCTATTGTTAAAGGAATCTAACACCTTCCAGGGGAAAATTTTTGAACTGAAATAATATGACTTCCAGTTTGCATTGAAAGTTTGTATATAGTTAATCGGGGCCTCCTGCCCCTAAAGTTTCCATATCTGGTCTCATCTTTCATCTATCTAAGTCCATTCTTGAGATTAAGGAAAGACAGACATTAAGGAAAGACGTTGTCAGTCAGCATGTCTGTCTTTCCTTAATGTACTTATCATCACTGGGCTGCAATTTGAAAAAATTGAAGCCCAGTGATGATAAGTACATTTTGAATTAAAATAAACTACATGTTTTAACTAAATAATCCTATATTTATAGGTATAGTATTTTGTTCAGCAATATCCAAAGGTATAAAATATCCAAAGGTTAAAACATGTAATTTATTCAATTCTTTTTTCTACATATGCATTTCGGATCAAAGTGAACCCTCAACTTCTCTTCGGTGCTATATAATTTGCACATACTTATAAAGAAACAACCATAGGTGGAGATTCAATTTCAAATACAAATGCATATGCAATGTTTTATGATTTGGATATTTTACTTGCTGAACAAAATACTATGTCTATAAACATAGGATTATTTAGTAAAAACACAAAAATACAGCAAACCTATAATTAAGAAAATTAAAATGAATTTTATTATAATTTTTTATTTATTTTAACTATAAATGTGAACAAATTTATGGATTACCCTGATAATTATACAAATATACTGTATAACTGCTCCAGCAATCAAAGCTAAGTGTAATCACAGTTCCATAATTAAGCTTCTTCCACATTACCTCAGCATTTCATTTTAAAGTCTATCATGAAAGCAAATTGGATATTGGCATTATTAATTAATTTTGTAGCGCTACACGACTATATGTTGTTATTATTTTTTTGTTGTCTCAGTTTCCTTTTTGTATGTATCGGGTTTTCTTGTATTGTACGATGTCGCATGTATTTTTTTTTTGTTATGATGTCACCTCTTAGGTACCATGAGAAAAGCCTTCTGACTGGTCTAGGTGGGACATGTGAGTGAAGCAGACTTCTGAAGAGCAGGGAGTATAAATTAGTGAACTTTCATAATTGAGGCCATATTGTTTTTGGATTCTTCAAGGATAGTACCAAGATTAGAGGTCAACAAGAACATCTGAGTTAGGTTGGGAGAACAGGAGTTAAGAAAGGGAGACCGTTTCCAGTCAAAGAGTATAATCTGTTTTCATCGTAGCGAAATTGAAGAATAGCAACGAGGGACGTACATCTTGTAATGTGAATTGCATCCAGGGTTTGAACAGAACTATTAGTTTTGAGGTTTGGTGTCTTAAAAACATGAATGAACTCAAGGCCATGTCGCATTCACTTAACCTACTATTGTGATTCATTGAAGGTTAACGTATGCATTTATTGTGTATGAGAAAAGTGTGTACGTATATGTATATATAGTATTGTAAATTTTGTTAGTTTTAAGTTGATAATTCGTATATCGTGCAAACTTGAGCGGTAGGAATTATCTCATGGTTATCATACTGTCAAAATAAAATTTTTTTTTGTCAATTTTGTGCAACTGTAATTGGTCTTGATTGAGTCCTTAATAAATATATATATGTATATATATAATTAGTATCTCCATGGATTTCGATCCACTGGATAAATTACAATTTTAAAGAACTTGAATGATGGATTTTAATCAAAATCAAAAATTTTGATTAAAATTCATTGTTCAGATTTTCTTTTTACAATTAATCAAAAATTTATTAAAGTATAACCATCACCAGAAAATTTTTTTACAGATTTTAGGATGTAGAGCAGGCATGTCAAAGATACAACCTGCGAGCCATGAATTGCCCACAAGACAATTTGTTGTGGCCCGCGACATTAATTTAATAATGCTTTTTGTTTATTTTTTTTTATCTTGATACCAAAGAAAATGTGATATTTTGTACTTAAACAAATAATACTTAATAAACAAAATTTTTGAACTCAATTATTATTGTTGTTTTTATTTTNAGTTTGAATACAAGTTTATTTTAAGCTTTTATATGAATTTCTTTCAGACATTCAAAGTAATTTATTAAGCAGCCTATTTCTTTTAATTTCTGCAAACTATTTTTTTATGCGATTTTAAGTTAATTTTAACTCGTTGTTTTGGTTTTATGCAATTTTAGAAAATTACAGAACGTATCCCTACTTTTTCAAGGCAAGTAAAGTCTTTTTTATGCAAATTTTTTTTTATGCGCTTTTCTGTAGAACGTATCCACCGCATAAAATGAGACCTTACAGTATATTATAGTCTGTCTATGGTTGTATCTTTGTATATGTTGAAGAGCCACAAAGATCACAAACAGCTCTGCAGTATACTGTTGTTTCTGCAGGCAGCCTCAATGCAGACAAAAGCTGCTCCTACTGTTGATGATTTTAAATCATTTGTACATATGGGCATTGTATGACTATATTGAGAATGGTGTTCTTTGAACAGTTGTTGTCATACAGAATTTGGAGTTGTTGCTTTTGAGTAGCTCTGTAAATCAAAATGAATATCAAATACTAGATAGAGTCATAGGGAGTATTGAGAGTCAGGGGACATGAATGTACAAGTGAAAGATTTATTGCTTTAAGGTCGGTATGCAAATGTATAGAAATTGGAGGTTTGTATGAAGATTGCTGATGAAGAAAAGCTTCTGGAATTGATGAGATTATTAGCTGATGTAATAGGGATACCTTACGGTTTCGGAGTTTCAGATATAATTGTAATGAGAGATGCAATCTTTGCAGAGACAGAGGTGGTTCCATTGATTCTGCATATAAGCTCAGTATTGGTGTGGTTTGGAACAGTCCTATGAACAGGCATATTCCTGTATAGTGAATTTGGTCAAGCAGGTGTAGTCTTGATGGACTTGCAGATCCTTATATTGCACTTCCATAGTCTAGTTTTGCCAGTATAAGTGCCTGGTCGATTTTCTGCATAGTTTTCCATTTCGTTTCCAAAGAGGTATTGTATAGGATTTTCAGTATATTCATTGCACATGTATACCAGGCCTTTAGGTAGGTAATATAGTTTAAATGCAAGAGGATTGTCCAAGATCATACCCAAGATTTGGTTTCCATTTGTTCTTTTATTTATTTGTATATCTCTGAGCCAGATCAAGATATAGTCCTTTGATTCTACATAAGTGTATGCAAACCATTTTTCTTGTTGAGGAAGTAAAACCATTTGACTGTGCCCAGGATTCTAATTTAACAGTCGTAAACTGTGATATATTTGTGACAGAAAACAAAAAACAGATTGATTTTAGCGCCAATTTGAAACGAGATATCGCAATTTTAATAATTATATTTAAAATATTCAGATTTTCCACTGCACTGTGTTAATCACTTTTGATTCATTTCTGAACACGGGGGTAATACTTGCGGGNCTTTTGATTTATACCTTATAAATTTAAACAGAATTTAAATTCACAAGGCATTTGTGTGTCATAATCAAGTTTGAATGAACTACTCACAATGTTTGTGCATTAATCTCCAGCTATTTATAATGTAGGAGAGACTGGAGCTGTTCAGTACTCTCTTTTTTCCAAATAATTTTCTGAATTACATAATGACTTGAAAAATAAAAGTATAACAAAATTAGATATATCATTTTTTATTCTTTAAAAAATAATTATTTCAAAATTGTACTTTTTATTTAACAAAAAATATAATTGAAAATAGTAAGCTACACTTTAAAACATATTCTGGCTTGAAGATAATTGAACTTTTTGTAGGACAAAATGAAATGATTGTAAACAGAAGGTTCTCTTTTTAAATATAATTATGATATTTATGAATTAGTTATAATTTATGAATAAATTATAAATAATTTACTCATAAATTTAAACAACCTTTTAAAAAATAAAAATTTCTTGGCATTTTCTATTGCAACTCATTAAATCATTTTTTTCAACTCATGAGATCTATTTCTTCATTGAAATCAGTCAGTTATGTATAATTGGCATAGTTGTGAATCTTAAGTGCAGTAAATGTTTCTGATAAAAATGCTATGATCTAAATCTCATTCAAAGATTAGCAACATGGAATTCAATATTCCTTGCTAATAAATTTCAGATTCCAGTAAAATATTTAACATTGAAATATTTTATAGTAAAATATGGTAATTTATTCCATACTAATTATTTTGATAAAAATAATGAATTCTATCTCAACTTTTAACAACTGAATTATTCTGTAAGATTTATTTATAATAATTTGTATGTGAATTTGTATGTAGGTTTTATAGCTATTTTTTCCCAAAATTATTTGAAATAAAAACTATAATTCTTTTGCATCAAATAATTTAGAAAATCAAAATGATTAAATATTTAGAATTAACCTAATCTGAGTCATATATATATATTTAGAAATTATTAATATATATTTTTTTTATCATTGACTTTCAATAATAATCAACAGCAAGATTCCATAAATAAATAAATTTAAAGAACAGTAATTATATGAAGTTTATTAAAAAATGATTAAAAATTGAACTAGAATGAAACTAATTTTTTCATATCAATTTATAACCTCATATAACCTCAAAAATGTCAAAGTAAATTATGTAATTTTTCTCAGGAAAAAAATAAGTAAACAAAATAAAACAATAATAAAATTGTTGACTTGTAAAATTGCCATTACTAAATGGGAGAAATAAGAAAATATCTCAAAACTCATGTTTTAAAGAATGTTACAGAAAGTCAATAATAAAAAATACATTTACAATTTTATCATATTATTTCTTACTTATCTTATTAAAATAATTATTTATCTATCATAAATACATAAAAACATAATTTTCTTTATTACTGTTTACGTTAATTATTTTTTACTTCTTAATTTATTGATTTACTAAAGTACTTAAAATAATTGTTATGTTTTAAAATATTTAAAAATTTTAAAATTATTTGGAAAAAGAATTTAATATTATATTCAGAAAATCAAAATTAAACGACAATTTCACTAATTAAATTTTATAAAATCCAATATTTAAAGTATTTATTTGTTTTGAACAAATATAAAATTTGTTCAAAACAAACATTGTAACAAAGAATGAAAACTAAAACTGATTATGTATGAATCTCAAATGTTATTTATTTCAAACTATTTCTGACCTCACTTTAGATTATCCTCAGTGTAAATTAACTACAAAATAACAAAATAAAATATTTACAGAATAGGACATTTTTAAAAATCAGTAAATAGAATACTTTACCTTCAATTATTATTTTTATTTAATTTAACTGCTGTTTTTATCACATCCATGTTATCATCATCACTACTACATTATTCAGTACATCTTTTATTAATTTATTAACATATGTCAATGTTAAATTTTATTTTATCATGTTTATGCAAATATAAGGTACAGTACATATTAATTTATACATGCTCACCCATAAATATTTTTTAATAAGACAATTTTAGACAAAATTTATTTCAACATAACTGATTCCATTGACATAAATTTGTTCAATATTTATTGTACAGCAAAGTAAGTTACAAATCACTGTCTTCCATCATATCAAAGTCAAAAAAATCTTCACTTTCCATGTTAAGCTCCTATGTATCAACACTGAATTTGATGTTTACATCTTACCATACAGAATCATATAGTCATCTAGTGCCATTTAAAGCATTGGAAATTGGAAATGAAATATTTCTTGAAAGAAGTGCTATACAAGCTTTTCTGGGATTTTCATCCAAATACTTACAATGTTACTTTAATAGGCTAACAAGATTCAGCTATGTTGACCTTTTAAATATTTAATGTCACAAATATTGGTGTAATAAAATCGTTAAAATGATGCAGGAATTAGTGGCAGAAACATAGCACTAGAGGTTACAAATTATGATGTATTACAACAAATCACAGATTATTTCCATAAGTACTAAAACCTAAAAAAGTACATCTTACATTTGAATAAATATGATATTTTAAAATTCTTGTATTCAAAATTCAGCTAAATACAGTATATATATTTAAAAATATTCTATTTGGTACTTTTATAAATGTCCTATTCTCCAAACATTCTATTTTGTTGTTTTACTTTTGACTTAAGCTGAATATAATCTAAAGTGAGGTCAACACATTTTGAAATAACTTTTGACATTCAAAAGCAAATAGTTTTGTTTCCTGATTCTTCATTTTCTTTTTAAATATAATTATACTGAAAATAATATATACACAACTGTTTATATGAAAATCATTACAACTTACAGGTATTTTATCATCTCGTAAATAATTTAAAGCAGAATTCATTTTAGATCCATCAAATTTTCCTCTCTTTACAAAAATGCATCCATGCTGAAATATAAAACTAACTTTAAATAAATGTAATTTAATAATTTAAATATTTCAAATTTGCAAACTGATATTAAATTAAAAATTTATAAAGTATTTAATACATAAGTGGTTTTTGTTTCAACCTCCGATCATGCAGGTAAACAGCCAATTGAGTGGAAGGAGGTAGGTATGCACAAAAAGGATGATTGCACATCTCCTCCACTTGTTTTTTTATTAATCAGGTACAAGTGACATTTATTGGTATATATCCAGTACAGCTTAGCACAACTGGGTGGCAGACTACATATAGTCATCATTGTACAAAAGAGATATTAAATGTGCTTAATAGTAAATGAATGGTATGAGCGAGAGTGGATCTTTTCACTACTCACAATGCATGGGATTTAACACAAAGGGCTGGGTAGCTTCCCAGAAAACCAACAATGTTCAGTATAATTTTTGCACTATAGTCCATTTGAAATATAAGTCTATAAGAGTTTTGAAGGACCTGTAGATTTCTTTGTTTTGTAGAAGACTTTTATTACATGGCCAATTTATATGTTTGTAGCTTAAAATTAGCCTAAAAGCCCTTCCTTTCTTTTTTGACTATAGGGCAGTCAAACAGGTAGTGATGGCTTCCATTGGTTTTGTCACAAATAGATCACTATCAGTAATTTTGAACCTGTATAAGTAACTTTGAAAGCAGACATGGATCATCATAAATTGGGTCGTATTGTGATAAATTTCAAGCCAATTCATCTTGTAGCTACTTTTAATGTTTGGTAAGTATGAGTAAGTTGTTTCATTATGAAAGTTGTCCCAAAACATTTGCCATTCTTTTAAAATATAGTTTTTTATAGCATTGAATCCTGTCACAGGTGGTAATTTGCTGTATATTATGGTGTTTTCTTGGTTGATGGCTTTGTTGGTTTTTTTGTTGCCAATATTTCCCTGGTGTCCTCTCAGCCAATTAAGGGAGAAGGCACCATTTGAATTTTGTAGCATAGTATTAACATTATTTGTAATCGGGTGAGTATCAGTGTTTTGAATTATGTAAATAGCTGTCAAAATAGATGTTAACATTATGATGTGTGTATTTAGCAATAGTCTTCCACTGCAGTGGCAATCGCCAGCAATTCTGCTTGTGTAACACTGCATGTATCGACTAATTTGAGAAGTTTACTCTCAATTTCCGTATATTTATGATATATTACATAACTTGCACCAATGTTATTGCCAATTTTAGGTATAGTGTGTATATGTCTATATGATTGTCTGTCAATGATTCAGAGTAAAAATATTTTCTTTTACTTGGGTTCTGGATAAATGCATAAGGGATCTTCCATTTGAAATTGTCTTTTTTAAGTCTCTCATCCCCGATGGTAATGACATTATCGTGTTTCAGTTCCCATTTTAATGTGTGGTATCTGATTTTGAGATTCATGGGGGCTTTTCTAGCAATTATCTGGAGCCTGTTAGTAGGAGTCATTCTGTAACCTTCAGTGAGAATTAGTAGTGCTTTCCTTTGGGCTGATATTAGTTTCTTTTTATTATGTATTTTGTGAGTGGCTTCTTCCCAAACCGGGCAGGAGTAGGTAATTATTAGAATAAATATCATGTTATAAATTGAGTCCATAACATGAGAGAACCCCCCAGTTGCTTTTAGCAATCTTAGAGAAAGATAACTATTTTCTTACAAATGTTCTCAATATGTGTGGTCCAAAGCAGCTTAAAGTCAAGCATAATCCCTAAATATTTAATGTTTTTCTATATTTCTATACTTCCCAACCCCATCCAAATTGTTGGTACTCTCTTGTACAAGTTTTGAGCACCTGGCTTGTTCCAGACAATTTGTCATTTTTCCCTCCCCATTCACTTATTTTTGATGTAGCCTGCTTTCCTTTCCTTTCAAGTTCTGCTCTAGAGTTACCCGTCAAAAGCACGAGTGCATCATCCGCATAAGCAATGATTTTGTCCTGCCTGAAGTCCTGGGTCAAAAAACCATTGAAAAGAACGCACCATAGAAGTGGTCCACAGGGCTCAGCCTGTGGACAGCCCCTATTATACTCATTCTCAAAAAGTAATATTTCCTGTTTTGATGACAATAGTTCTCTCATGAAGATGAGGGCACAAATGCCTACAGACGCCACCAGGTAGAGGGCGCTAAATGGCTTAGTCAATGGATGCAGGAAAATTTTGCTCTGTATTCGAATTGAGTTTTTGCTGAAATTTTTACTTTAAGCTCTAAGTGTTATATATTTCTGGATAGAATTTTCCGTATGGATTAAAAATCTGTTAAGTTTTTCAACGTACGACAATTTTTCGCAAAGTTATTAGTTTTTGAAAACTGAATACTTTTAAAATTTTCAACATTCTTCTACAACGACTGTCGCCATAGTAACGGTCCATAGAAGATTCCAGAATTTTTACCGGAAGTCGTATGTTCTTTCTTCATATTATTATTTTTTTTGGAAATTATTAATTTTAGAAGTTATTATACTCAGTGATGGCTATTGAAGAATTTCTGGAGGAATCTGAGGAAGCCATTGAGGATTTAAAGAGATATTTCCGTAATAACCCAAAAGGGCGATTGGGTACCGAGGAACATATTAGATTTATTACAGATAAATTTATTACCTTAGTGAAGAGCGCCGAAGAGGTAATTAGGAAAAATTCCATATCAGATTTCCTGCTTCAGAAATTTGATTTGTTGGCAACGAAAGAGGATGTCAAACAGCTGCTTGTTGCTCAGAGTGACAAAAATTTAGAGGCTATTCAGGAAGTGAAACAGACTATTTGTGACTTAGAAAAACCTCCACTTTTAGGGGTGGAAGGTTCTCAAGGGACTACTGCTCTGTCATATAGAGATATTTTACAACGCGATCTTAATTCTTTGAAGAATACACAGTCTGAAAAGGAGTCCTCGTTACCAACATACACTGTTCTAGTTTACAATGATAATAAAGAGAGCACATCGGAAGAGACTAAGACACTGCTCGCTAATTCTTTTGATCAAAGACTGCATAAGGTGCCTGTCAAGCGTATTCGTAAGATAAACAATGGTGGAATTGCTGTTGATTTTCCTATCAGAGAGGAGGCTGAATACTTTCAGGAACAATTAGACAAAATAGAAGGATTAAAGGCAACGAAACGCAAGACGGCGTCTTCCTCTTATGAAAGTGACTTCAGTCCCGAACTCAGTTACCAAAGAGGACCTACTAGAATACCTGCTTGAACAGAATATTTTTTCACAGAAGTACACGATGGAGGAGTTTAAAAAGGTTTTAAACATTCGATTTTCAATCAAAGAGAGAAATGACGAGTTTTTATCGTGGGTATTAGAGATGTCACCGGAGGTTAGGGCAATGACTAAAAAACAAGGATATTTTTATGTTCAGTGGAAAACGTGCTAGGTTTATGATTTTTTCCCTGTACGACAGTGTCTTGCTTTTGGACATTTGGCGGCAAGTTGCTCATCACCGAAGAAAGTTTGTAGCCATTGTGGTGATGATCATTTGTTTAAGACATGTACAAAGAAAAGTGAAAAGCCTAAATGTGCTAATTGTTTGAGGACTGGCCTAGATAAACAGGAACATAACACACTGGATAAGGAGTGTCCACTCTACATTAAAGCAAAAGCCTTATATATTAAGACAGCTGACTACTTACCTTAATAATTATGGAATCCTTTACAGGACACAAATTGTTTAATTCATAGTGCTCCTTAGCACAACAACTAATACAAGCAGATCATCACTTCTCTATATACATTTGTGTTTGCTGACTGTAAGAAATATGTAAGCTTCATCATCTTTCTCTGTTTTTGGGTTTAAAGTGTTGGAATGGATACTTACAATTACTAGCTGTGTGGACTTTGTTTTTTCTTTTTTACTTGTATGTATATTATATATGGACTCATGGGATTCTCAAATCTTTGTCTTACAAATTTTCTGCACGGGATAAATTCTGTTAAACACTTTGTCAGAATTATTGTATTTACTGCAACCTTCATTTGCGAAAATATTCCTGTAGATAAGTAATCTGTTATATGCTGCAGCATGCTGCTGCATATTTTGTTCGGGTCTTTTATTGTCATTGTGTTCTTATTTTATTTATTTATTTTTTTTTTTTAAATTTTTCTTTTCACTTTGCTTTGTTCATTAGTGCATACTGTAACTCGGTGGAACTATTTAATGGATATGTTCCTGTAATGCTCACTGCAGGGCAGGACTTTGTACCTTGTTTTAAATGTACAATTAAACTAATGAATGAATAATGAATGAATGAAGATGCCACCAGGTGTCACGTAGTGGTGATGTCAGCAACACTGAAATCTCACTTTTGCCTCTGGCGACTCACAAGGTCAGATGTATATTGATCGAGATCCAACTGCTTTGACCAGACTAAGACTATAGTGCCTGATGACTATAGCCTAGTGAGCCGAAATGTTTGAAACTTTCGAACATTTAATTCTTATCAAAATTCAGAAATTTTGCCTGAGATATTAGCAACATTTGACCAGGTATGTGACAAAAATGAGCAAACCCATTGTCAACCACGTGACAGTCAAGTCTCAGTCATTTTGGACCAAAATCCTGATTCTATGGTTTGCCCAGCTAGAGAGTCAATTTATCTTCATTAAGGTATCTCATGACAAAACTAAATATAGCCACGCATTGTGAGTTTATCAGAGTGCATTGCTACTGACACCCAGGACATATTAGTCGAACCTCCAAACATTGACAAGTATGAAGTGATAAAACGGGCATTGATCCACTATATGTTCCAGTCCAAAGCTCAACATCTCGAAAAGCTCCTATGTACCGAAGAGCTTGGCAACTGCACATCATCGTAGTTACTTTGATGCTTGAGAATGCTTGCGGGTCATACAGTTATGAAGGACTTACTCAAAAGTATTTCGTTATCCCATCTTCTTGCAGATATACAGAAGATACTGACCACATCCAAGGGAAAGCTTAAATCCCTCGCTAAGATTGCTGACAATCTTAGTGAACTATACC